TTCAAACACAGAGTTCAGCTTCCAAAAGCTCCCTTGCGTCACTGAAGCAACTGCAAAAGGCCTTTAAAGCAATCTTCCGAACGAACGAAGGGCGGCAAGCACGAAGTGAGTCAACGGCAGCTTAAAGTACTCTCTACTGGTCCTACCATGCCAAAACAAACATGCAAACATGACATGCCGTGAAACATGCTCCGACAGGCGCCGACAGCGCAAAAACATGCAACAAGCCTAAGCAACTTTCTACCAAGCTACCAAGCAGTAAGCTACCAAGCTGCGTTCCGACCTTAAACCAAAACACGCGGACATCAACAGAAGTCTTCAATGCAGTTCTTGAACTTGGATCAGCGTGTCAAGAACCTTCCAAGGAAACTTGGTGTCCAGTGTAAGCTCCTCTGTTTGCATTGGCAAGCTGTACCACTTGGACTGGGAAATCTTTTGGCATAGACCAGTTTGTGCTTGGCTACAAAGTGATCCTTCGGCCTACATCCTTTTTGCTCGTTTAAACATAATTGCAAAGGGCTGGATCAGGCGTGCATGCGCTTCCGCCTTCCCTCTTCCTTGCCGAAGAATGCAAATGTCAGTGCCGTTGCATGCAAGTTCGTACTGTTGCTACTAAGCTCGGAAAAGTCCTTGAAAGGCTGATTCGTGATGCAACTCCAGCCTGAGTCAGACAGGTTTGTCGATGTGCATGAGGCTTTGCCAAATGGAGACCTCGAGTACCGCAACACTTGCTTTCTCGATGGCCAGTGGAAGCTTCTTGAACTCAATGAACACATCGATCGGCTGCCTGAGGTATCCGCGCAGCTCCCAGAAGACATGCTTCATGGTCGTTGAATCGCTTTGGACATCATTGTTTCCATCATTTTGCTCATCCCCGCCAGCGCTGCTGTCCTTATCAGACGAAGAATCAGAGCCAGCTTCATCAGGAGTTCCAGGCGGAGGCAGATAAGCGGAGTCACAGGTCCAACACCATCATTAGCAACATCAACTGCACCGGTGTCTGTCACTTCTTTGGTGCGTTGGCGAAAAAAGACCGAACGACAGTCCGGAGT